ATGGTGTATCAACAGTGGTCGCGCGGGCCCAGCAGCAGTTCGGGCCTGCCGAGCTTGCCATCGTCCTTGACGCTGTTGTCGGCGAGGTCGTCTCGAGATGGGCGGTACTCTCTCAAGCTTTGCCTCCACCAATTTCCAAACAAAGCTGTTTTGTTTGTCGGGCCCGTTCCAGAAGGGCGCTGTGTTGAGCACGTGCATATGGAGATATGTCGCGTTTGGAGAGGCCCCTCTTGGCTGCGACGTCTCCGTAGTCATTGTCCTTCTTGCCACGGTAGTGCCTGCTGCCTTCCTGCGTCTAGTGACTCTTCACGTACGCTATGGTCAGCAAATCGCTTAGCCCTCCGTGGTCCTCCAGAGCGCGCCGTCGGATCCTCCGCGTATCGACATGAGATGGACGGGGAAGTAGGCACCACTGCTTGCCATTGTTTAGCCCGTTGGTGGTCATCATGCAGTCTGTGTGGTTACGTATGGGGTAGAAACCCATGCCTCAGCGGTATGATGATTGGCGTATAGTTCTCCTCGTGGTACCAACTGCGGAGCTCCTTGCACCGGTTGACATGCTTTGCCCCTCACCTCTGATCATCCATCAGCGCGATTCCCCATCCAGCTCGCGTCCCTTCAGGCCAGCCAATGCGGGTTCTTCCCGCTCCGTCGGTGCATGCTTCGCCTGCGATCAGCTCGTTCCAGCCGCCGTAGACGCAGTGCGCAGTCTTATCCGAGCAGAGCGGATGCACCGCAGGAAGCTGGCCTCCCGGCATCAGGGTCCTTATAAACACCGGTCGCTTTCTGGCGAACGCCCTGCTTCCTCGACGGTGTCCAGATCCACTGCCAGAGCGCGCTCCTCCGCCAAGTAGGGGCGGCGCCGCGCTCTATGCTGGGCGCCTTCCTGCAGCCCCGAAAGAGCATGCATTCCGCAGGCTCCGCGCATCCACTGCGAAGCCGAGCCTGTGACCATTGACCTCCCATGATTGCGTTTCTCAATGCAACGCGCGCGAACCGACGGCCCCCGCGCCCGCGCTTGATCTCGCGTCGTTAGCAGCAGGCGAAACGGGGCGAACCAGCGTCCACGAGCTTGTCGGGTCGGCGCGGGTCTCTTGCGCATGGACGCTTCTTGTGGCCCACTCCCCCCATTTCAGGTCGACAGGAGCCCGTCTGGTTTGAGCGCGGATCCGATCTGGCATGTCTCTTTTGAGGCCCAGGTTCCCTCCACTGGCCGTCTTCCACCGAAGAGCTGATTGAGGCCACCCTCGGAGGTGGTGAAACACATATCAGGCGTCGCCCACGTGCCCCGCAACGTCCGCCCACTCCCGTGCTTCTCCAAATCGACGGCCTAAACTCTGGAATGCTCGTTTCGACATGGGCTACGAGAGCGCGGCCTACGAGGACGCGCGATCTGACGCCGTCTTGGCCTATGTGTAGAGAGGCTCAGCTCTCGCAGAGATATCTGGATGTTGGTCGCGCCTCTATTCGGGTTGGAGCGCGAGACACGTGGGAGTTCTCGTCGGCGCACGACGCCGCCCAACTCGGCCATCTTTGTCTTGGAACTGAGCATGGAGCGAGACGCGCCAATAACTTGAATTCGCACAGCATAGCAGGCCCTCCGGGCGACTGCGCAAGTGCCCTGCCAACTCTAGCCACGGCAGCCAAACCCGTAATTCTGGGCAGCCTCTTTCTAATCTTTGCCATGCGTCGTCGAGTCGAAGTGCAACGTTTATTGTCGCAACTTCTGGCCACCATGCCAACGGTCTCCAGCACCGAGCAATCCTGGAAGCCATGTTGCCTGATGCGCTCAGCCAGTGGCTTCGCAACTGCAGGCGCCGGCGATATGATATTGGCCCTACCTCGAGCGATGGGCAAGTCCAGAGCGTGGGGTACCACTGCCAGCCAAAGGATAATGCGTGCCAATTATTCGACCACGTGCTGGAGATCTGCAACAAATTGAAGAGTGAGATCGTCCCTGATTGTATGTTGTATATATATATATATATATATATATATATGGATGTGTGTACATGTATGTGAAAGATGCATATACACCAATGGCGTGATGCACAGCGTTCATGGCGAAGGGCCCCTCGAAAAAATCGGACGCCTCTATCACGACCAGTTGGAAGAGAAAACCTTGTTACTGCGCAGACGGGCAAAACAACCTTGTTAACTTGCGCCGCGCATGAATATGACGGCCCCCGCGCGATGCACCCCGGCGCGCAGTGCGCCGCCAAGCACCGCATCAGCAAGCGGAGTGGCAGAATCCAGCTGCGCCGCAGCCTGAAGCGAAGGTTGCCAGCGCACTCTGTCGAAGCACTTGCCGATGTCAGTCAAGGTAGTCCGGGCGGCCTTCGAATGATCCCCTTGGTGGGCTTCTGCCTTTATCATGGTCCTGGCGCCCGCGTCGAGGGTCGATCTGCCAGCTCCCAATGCGCACTAAAGATCAATAAAGCCGGGCGCGTCGGGCTGCCCAGACGGGCGCGTGAGATATCCGCATCTTGATGCGGCCTCGACACAATGACGGCAGAGGTGCGATTGGGCGAAGTCCCCCTT